ACCTAACGATTGTTCTCCTAGTAATGTGTACATAGAAATTAAGGTTTTCTTTACTTAGGACATTCTTTTCCAAGAGAACCCTTGAGATCAGCATTGAAAAATTGGTTTATTCAAATACGAGCATATTATAATAGATATCTGGGTAAAAGATCTTTTGTGTAGCTCTCCTGTCTCTTTGAATTAGCACGTAGATGTTGCTCTTGCTGACAGGGTCAAACTCAGAATGTGGAGAAGCTTTTGTCTTTTGGGGAATCTGATTATTTCCCATTAATATGTTTCTCCTCCTTCTGTTTCCTTCCCTCATCCAAAAAATGGACAGGTTTTTTTTTTTAATGTCCAAGGCATTTGGCAATAAAATCAAGAATCTAGAAAACATTCTTGTAGAGTTATCATTACTGGTCTTCTAATTTTCACATAGGTTTCTTCTTATGTGAATACAGTTGAGTACAGGAGGCCCCCACTTTGCGACTGCCCGATTTATGACCCCCCGCACATACAACCTTTCCTGTAAATGCGGACGGGGCCAAAACCCCCCAACTTACGTACTTGGCCCTGTATTTACGACGGTGTATGATGCTTGACATAATGTGGACTCGAGTTACAATGCCCCCAACTTGCAACACTATCTCTGGAACTGATTGCGTCGCAAGTCGGGGGCAGCATGTATATACAAGTTTTATAATAGTTTTGAAGGATAGTGTTAAAACGTTCTTGTTTTGTGGTTTAACAGAATTCTAAACTGCAGCTTTCCTTAACTATTGCTCAGATTCCATGCTGATTTCTATTGTTGGAATGGCACTGTACACTGGCTACGTGTTTATGCCTCAACACATCATGGCGATATTACACTACTTTGAAATTGTGCAGTATTGAAGAAAATAAGTCCCAGATGTACTTACTAGTCGAAAAGTAACAATGATTCTAGAGTCACCCTGCAAAGAAGATCCAACCACTTTGTTTTAACAAGACTTCAACAGATGTCAAAACAGGCAACACACAGCTATGACTCTGAAAACTAGGAAACTAGATGTGTAAAGTAGGGACACAACATACCTCAGTGTTGTGTTCATTCACTTTAATTTACAAGATGCTCTTGTATAGTAGTTTTGCCTATTTTAACATAGTGATTGTACTTTGATATCAGTATTTTCTTAACTTTGTGACCGTTTCAATATTGCACTGTGAAAGCTTTTTGTAATGTACTTTGAGTAAACTTTGCCTTCTATATTTAATCAAATCATTAAATAGGACTTAAAGGTTTTATTATTGTATAGTATACATCTGCCTAAATATATATTTCTATTTACACATTTTCTAAGAAAATGCCTTTAGAGTGAGTAACAGAGATTCATTCATCTAACATTGCTTACAAAAGCAGTTTGTAAGCCTCAACTCAGGTGTACTGTCTGCTGTCCAGACTTTGTCCAACAAAGTATTTGTGCATATTACTATATTTGGCTTTAGCAACAAATCTCAAGTATTCTGTATTACAGCTGGAAAAAGAGGGATGGATGAGACAGTTAACACTTCACTCATCATCTTTTGGGATAAGATTATAAATGTATTCTTTCCAAAGTTGGAGCAAAAGGACTAATGGATTTTCACTCTTTCATGAACTGCATCTAGGCCCTCAAGGTTTTGTAATTTAATGTTCTAACTTCTAACTAAACTGTACTTGTACATAATGCTTGTCGTTCAAGGATTGTTTCAGTGCAGATGGAGTTTTTTTCCTATGTTCATTGTCAGCGTTGTAATTGTCTTGTTTTAAACTTCTTCATTGCAGTTAATCTTCTAAGCATATTTGAACATATTCTTGTTATAAATGACCAAAACATAGAATTCTAAGTGGACTTGAGTTAAAACTACAGCAATAAGAAGCAGAATGCTTGGCTGAACTCCTGTCTTTGTTCTTACAGCATTTTTCAGATTTGTATTCTGAAATGTAAAATGGCAACCTAACTTTCTAAGGTGGAGGATATTTTTTGTTCTTAAAAAATAAAAACTAAAAGCCAGTTGGATGCAACACTTTTCTCCTTTATTTTGAAAAGTTAATGTGTGTGATGGATACTGATCAAAACTCCCAAAGGAGATGGGGCAAGGGAATGATAACCAAAGAATCTCACTTGTTCCAGTAAAAATAACTACTGTGGGCCAAATTATGTCCTAATATATACAGCTTCTGTTGATGCTAATAGAAATGCATTATACCTAATTAATGCACAGTTATTAGACAATTCTCATATGTAATGTAATAAAAGTTTAATTCCCTTAAATATGCATTCCAGAGAGGAAAAGTAATATGCTTTTTCCTTTTTTTAAATAAAATAGTGGATGAACTTTATTTTCAGTTTAATGGAATATAACTTGTTCTGTTAAACTAGGGATGCAACAACATACATGTATAAACTGTTAACCTATGAGCCTCGGGTCACGTTAGCCTTCATGGTTCTATGCAATCCCTCACCCATCCACGCTGTGCTTCTGTATCAGAAATAGCAGCCCCAGGAGAGACGGGGAAAGCATGTGGGAACTGGTGCTTGGGGGGGTGGGGGGAGCTGGCTTTTAAGCAGGCTTCCTGTGAGCACTGGCTCCTAGGGAGCTGCCTCTTCTCCCTCTGCCCCCCCCCCATGCTGCTGCCTCATACAGAGGTAGGAGAGGAGGGGACAAGCAGTGCTCTGTTTCTGTAATCTTTAGTTGGCTTTACTTTTCCTTACCTGACTTGCAGATATTACATACATACTGGTATCCAAAGCAATGTTAGATTGGTGCTTCAGAAGGGGGCATATGGGATCATAAAAATTAAGCTAATAAATGAGAGCTTTAGCATTTGAGGAAAAATTTCTATTGGCACACATTGTCTGGTTGCACAGTAGGTTAATGCATTACTACTGAGGTGGTGGTAAGACAATTCTGCACCAGTTTTTTCATTTTCTTAAACCTGACTATTGAAACACAGAATCTTTTTAAAATGTAACTCCATGCACTTTGAGTTCTGAAACACGAGTGATTTCCTTTTGCCAAACTGAGATAGGTATATGCTGAATGCTTTTATTCTGGTATTGTAAAGGTTATCCCTGTTGAGGTAGACGGAGTAACTGTTATGAATAATTAGTTTAGGGAGTGAAGGGGAGGAAAAAAATCTCTGCCCTAGACTTCAGTTGTGGGAGGCGCATCTCCTTGCCAGTAAGCAATTACTTTAAGATCGTGAGAGATGTTTGGGAACTTTTATCCAGTACACTAATTCTGCAGTATTTCTGTCACGTTGTGAAAATGGCTTTAAGTAGGAAAGCATTTGTAGATGGATTTTGATGATGCATAAGTTTTCTCAAAGCAATTTTTAAGGGTGGGAAAATGCAACCTTGCCAATATTGACAGTATAAAGCAATACTAAATTAGTACATGCGGATTTGTGTTTCTTATATTCTAATCTTAAGTATCATAAAATCCTTGAATCATCCTCTCAGATTTAAAATGTCAAAGGATAAAATATTCTTTTATTGTAATATGACTAAAGTTCATACCCCCTAAAGTGCTATGATATGATTGCACAACACTAATCTGTGAAAGATAGTCAAAGATGGTGACTGTGAAATTAAACTTTTTAAAGTAGGTATGTAAAAATTTGTTTAAAAATATAAATGCTAAAATATACATAATATACTGAGCTTTATGCTGACTTCACTGTAGGCTCTGCAGTATAACTTATACTGTGGAGCTTGCAGCGTGGGTTGACAGCTGGCTCCCTGGGAGCAGGACCCCTAGCCTGCTCCCAGATAGTGGGCTTTACTGTGGGTTCCATGGTATAAATGTTATAATGTAGAACCTGCAACGTAGCTTCCCTGTGAGTGAGGCTGGTGGGACTGCTGGCCCTGCTTCCGGGGAGCTGTCAAGTAACTAACTGAAAACGATAAGCTAGTGCTTACCAGTTAACCATTTAAACCAGGGGTGGGCAAAAGGGCCACCGCAGACTCTTTCTGGCCCACCAAGTGGGTGGATCTGGCCTGCAGAGACCCTGCCACTCCCCAGGCCTGAATTGGCCTGGGGCAGGGCAGCGCGTGAAACCTCCTCAGCTCTGCTGCTACCCTGCGAGCAGCAGGCAGCGCTTAAAAGCACCACGTTCTGCTGGCAGGGTGAGAGAGGCTTTTAGATGGGGGGGGTCCCCTCTTCTGCTGAGCTGTGCTGCCCTGGGAGAAGGCGAGTCCGGGGGAGGAGAGTCCTGGCCAGACAGATCGGCAGCATGGGGAAAGGGGCACAGCTGCTGGCGGGCTTTGCACGCAGGGAGGGCAACCCCACAAAGCCCTGCATCGCAACAGGCACAAATCCCTGCATCTGACTACAGGGTGATCCTCTGCCCTGGTTGTCCCGATTCATAAGGAAGGCTATGCCTCCGGTGCTGCTGCCTTTCCTCCACTCTTCTACCCCCACCTCCCCCACACACAGGGGCTCCCTGGAGAACAAGTCACCCTGGAGTGTGGGGTGTTTGTAAAGCACATTTGTGTCTGTGCGGGGGTGATGCAAATCTAGGCAAGGAGCAAGACTGAGGATGTCCCACCCTGTATATGTGCAGCCCCTTCCCTTCTGGATGTTCCCTCTTGCTGGGATCCTAGGTCTGCACAAATCAGACGCAAAAGACCTTAGGTCCTCTAGTGCAGTTTTATCCTCCCCAGGCTGTGCTCAGCACAGGCTTGATTGACCCCCCCTTTGCTTGATACATTCCAAAGACTGGGGGAACCACTATACCCAGGGATCTTCCTGTTTTCCAAAGGGATGGTCCCATGTTCCTTGCGGGCTGCTTGGTTCTTGTGGGTTGTTCTTTTTAACATTCTTGGTTGGGCAATGAGTGTGTCTGGGACTGCCATGACACACCTCAGTCCTGTTTGGACATGTTCCTCCTTACCATGTAAGCTAATGTTCACTGAGCTAAATGTGTGTCATATCAGCAGTTTTCTAAGAACATTTGGTTCTGTGGCAGCATAAAGAACTAACAAGGTTACAGGAGAGATGCACCAGAAAAGCTGCCATTAATCAGAGAATCCCTTAGCCTAGGCAAGAGGCTGATGGGATATAAGTGGGTGTGAGAAGGAGCGGGGGGGGGGGGGGGGGGAGTAGTAAGTGGCTTATGGCACAGAACAAAGGCACTGAAGATTTAATAAGATGCAAGAGTCAGTGGCATTTGAAAGACCAGTGATGATGAACAGATCGATGTAGGTCCGCTGGTCACCTCCCTGATGGGATTCATTTTCTCAAGTCCCTATACCCCACTTCTCCTGCTGTTGTTGCTAGTGTATTCACTCTCTCCCTTGTTGGGACCTTACACAACAACCAGACTTATATAATATGGAGTTGGATGGCTGGTTCTGGGTATGTTTTCAAGCTGTCCAGTGCCATAGCAGAAAGCTGCCTGGAAAGGGAGGGTGACGTAGCAGAGATAAGAAAGCAGTGTCATTAGTGCAAGTGCCTAGAGCAAGGGGGGAAACTAAAGGGCCTCCACGAGCTGGATCCGGCCCACCAAGAGGGTGGATCTGGCCTGCGGAGGCCCTGCTGCTCTCCTGCCCCCAGCCCCAATTGGCCTGCAGGTGGGGGAGTGCGCAAAGCCTTCCTCTACCCTGCCAGCAGCTTGTGGCACTTTTAAGTGCCACGTGCTGCTCGCAGGGTAGAAGCAGAGCAGAGGAGGCTTTGTGCACACCCTGCCCCCAGGCCCTAATTGGCCTAGGGGCAGAGGGGTGCGAGAAGTCTCCCATGCCAGGGGCATGGGTACCTAGGGAGAACATGGGAGGGCAAAGGCACTCCCTCACCCCCAGACTAATCATTGTCTGGGGGTGGGGAATCTGGAAGTAGCTTGGCTCCACCCCTTCTGCTTGATGCCCCACTCCTTCCTGTGCGACCTGGGCCACTTGAAAAATTTCCAGAGTGGCCCCTGGTGAAAAATTGTGTGCCCCCCCCATTTAAACAATTACTTTTAATTAGGGGTGTAAAAGTGTAAGGAAGCTAGTAGGTGTCTATCATATCAGGAAGTTTAATAATAGACTACTTTACCTAAGAAGATAAAGTTTAGCATTTTCCACTTTGCTATGGTTACTTTACAGCAGGGCTATTCAACTTTGGAAGCCCTGGGGGTCACAATGATACAGCACATGCCGAGGGCCACAACTTACATGTGCGGGCATGAATACAAAGATTAAGGCAAGACTACACAACATGCAGGCCCCATTTAAATCAGTTCTGCTGATACTAATAAAATGCAATATTTACCTGATTTCCACCCATATGACAGACCTTTTAATGAGCAATGACAGTCCAGGAATTTAACTACTAAAATGCATATCAACAGAAGGCCATTATATTGACTACATTTTTTGTTTTGGTTCCCACCCTCTGGGTCATGTGTTGAGCCCTGTGTCAATCCAAACCTCACCACGGGTTGCGAACAAACAGGCCGCATGTTGAGCAGCCCTGCTTTACAGCCACAGTCAGTTCAGAGATCAAATCTTACTGTATCACTACTCACCTTCTCTGGAGAATCTAGATTTAAAAGGCAATTTTAAAAACTAGGTGGAGGAAGCTATTATAAACATGGTTATACAAAGAAAGCTGTTGCATAACAAATCATATGTTAATATGTCTTGACAAAGTTGAAAAACTGATAATGAAATTTCAGCTAGACAAATGTGCTTTTTCATGAATCTTCTGTTGGCAAATGTTATCAAATACTGGGAAATATTCTGCAATATAAAATTGGTAGTTCAGAGAGAGAAGACCACAATTCAGAATAAATCAATTTTTCCTTTGCTGAATCCAGTCTCAGAGCTATGGGCTTAGTGTCCCCACTAGCCAACCTGTGGGACTGATTGTAGAAATGATGGGGCCAGCATTTCACCCATTGTTACCTAGGAATGATGCAGGAAAGTTATTATTAAACCTATGAATCAACTTCCCCATCTGTACAATGGGAGGGGGAAGCAGGCATGTTGTGAGGATTAAATAGTTAAGGTTGAGGGATTATTGAATGCAGTTCTTGA